AAGAATGTTTACTGTCCTCTCCACAGAGCAAATCTGACTATATGCCAGGCTTTATTGCTGAAAATATGAAGCTATAACCCAAAGATTTTCTTTTCACATGTGTGGACCTCTAGTGTGGGGTGACTGTGAGAGGCTCACAAATCCATATCATGTCAAGAATTTCCTGTAGACTGAGTAAATACAGTGCTTTGTACATAGGTGTAATGCTATATTTCAAATATATAAAGATACTATTGTGGTTAATTTTAAAAATCCACAAATTTATCTAGAAATCTTATTGGAATCCAAATGTCTTTTGCCATTAGATATACCATTAGATAATAAAAGCACAACTTCTACCACGTAAGTTCTGATCCTTTTAAAAACTAACACACACACACTCACACTAAAGTGGTCCCCACCTCAATAAAATAAAAAAAAAAGTTAAAAAAATACATACGATTCTGAATACACCTGTTAAAAATGTACCCATAAGTCTAATATATGAATTAATTTTTCAAAATTTAAAAGAGGTCCTCATCCTGAGGAAGCTTTGCTACGTGCCACATGTGTATCACAACAGCCCTGCCTGGGCTGCCCTCCAGCTTGAGGGGTGACACCACACCCCACCTAACATTTCATCTCAATTTACAATGTACAGTGAGCTTTTTTCTTGTTTGTTTGTTGCTTTATTTATTCTCCACAACAGCCCTCTAGGGTTGACAAGAGAGCTATTGAATTTCTCAAGACTGACAGGGGACTTCTATTATGAAATGTACATGGAAGAGACAAAAATCAAACAAGAAAGAAAATAAATACACTGTGTAACTTCAGAAAAAACTGAGAAAAAACATAGGTGGTATATGGGACACACTGAAAAGTTCTGCCAAGCACATAATTGGAATCCTAAAAGGAGAGGAAAGAGAAAATAGGACTCTGAAGAAAGTCCAAGCAGGGCATGAGGACAGAGAGTGGTGAGGTGTGGGTATATTTGCTGGGATGGTGACATTTGAGCTGAGAACTGAATGACCAGAAGAAGCCAGCCAGAAGGCCTGAGCGAAAAACATTCCAGAGAGGAAAAACAACTGCAAAGGCCCTAATCGAGACAGAAATGAAGTATGCTTGACAAATACCAAAAAGACCAGTGTGGCGGAAACTTGACGAGGGCGAATGGGAGCAGAATGAAATATGGTTGGAGAGACAGGCAGGTAGGGCCTCATGGGTCCTAAGTGGCTGGAAGAGTAGGACTCATCAAACATTCCTTTTGCTTCCCCACATTCCCAGTCCCTTTAATCAACAAAGCACAAAGTTGATTATTAAGCAGTTCCAGGTGACGAGCTCTAGTCAGTGGACTAGGGGCACAAGTGATTTGTATCATTTCTGGGCCAAAGCATCAAAGAGCTAGCACAGGAATGTCAAGCTGTTTCTTCCTTCAAGCGACAGAGCCAGAAGGTCAAGGTGCGTTGAATCACTGAATTGCAACATGAAGACAGTTGCCCTGATGAGTCGTGCAGACTCTCAGTAGACTTTAAGTACGGAGAGAAATAAACCTTTGTGCTATCAAGACGTAATAAGCTGATTCTGACTAATATCACATGGTAAGAAGTTTGGATTTTATTCTAAGTGTGATAGGAAGTCATTTGAAATTTTGAGCAAGAGAGTGATGAGATCATATACATGTTTAAACGATCACTTTGCTGTGTGTAGAATAGATTGTAAGGAGGAGGGACAGGAGAAATCAGGAGGCCAGTTATAGTCTATTGAAGTTAATCTAGGTGTGAAATATTGGTGGCAGTGGAGGGGATAAGTTGAATTCAGGACATATTTTGAATATAAAACTAACAAGACTGATGGAAAGACTCCAGGGTTTTTGGGCAGGGGCAGTGGAGTGAAGAAGAAGGCAGAGAGAGTAGAAGCTAAGGTGAGTGGGGTAGGAATCAAGAGTTATAAAACTGTTTTGGTTTAAAGATCTCTTCCAAAGAATAGGAAAAAAAGAGAGAGAGAGAGAAAATACTTCCCAACTCCTTTTACAAAGTCAGTATAACCTTAATATCAAAACCTGACAATGATATTACAAGATATATAAATGCAAAAATCCTAAACAAAGGATTTGCAAACCAGGTTCAGAAATATATAAAGAGGGGGGCTGGCCCAATGGCATAGTGGTTGGGTTTGTGCGCTCTGCTTCGGCGGCCTGGGGTTTCACAGGTTCGGATTCCAGGCTCGGACCCACACACCGTTTATCAAGCCATGCTGTGACAGGCGTCCCACATATAAAGTAGAGGAAGATGGGCACGGATGTTAGCCCAGGGCCAATCTTCCTCAACAAAGACAGGAGGATTGGCAACAGATGTTAGCTCAGGGCTAATCTTCCTCAGCAAAAAGAGGATTGGCGAGAGATGTTAGCTCGGGGCTAATCTTCCTCACCAAAAAAAAAAAGAAAGAAAGAAAGAAATATATGAAGAGGAAAATAAATCATAATAAAATTGGATTTGTTCCAGGGATGCAAGGTTGTTTTAACATTCACATATTCATTAACAGAATAAAGGAGAAAAATAATCTCAATAAATGCAGAAAAATCATTTGATAACATTCAATGCTCATTTATGATTTTTAAAAATCCTCTTAGCAAATTAGGAATAGAACTTCTTTAATCTGATACAGATGTTATGAAAACCTAATAGTACACATCATACTTAATGGTGAAATATTGAAAACATTTTCTTTACGGTCAAGTATGAGAGAAGGATGTCTTCATCATCCCTTTTATTCATCCCTGTACCTGGATGTCCTGCCCAGTGCAACAAGGCACCAAAAGAAAAAGAAGGAGAGAGAGGAGAAAGAGGAGGAGGAGGAAGGTGCTGTTCAGGAAGGAAGAAATAACACTATTGTATTTACAGATGACATCATTGAATCTATGGAAAATCTTGAAGACTCTATGGATTAACGATTAAAATTGATAAGTGAATTTATCAAGATCACTGGATGGAAGTTGAAGATACAAAAATCAATTATATTTTTATATACCAGCAATAAAAAATTAGAAAGTAAAAAAATATTGAGTGATAGCATTTACAATAGCATCAAATTCATCAAATACATAGAAATAAATCTAACAAAAGCTGTGCAAGGATATCTACATGGAAAACGACAAAATACTATTGAGAGAAAATAAAGAAGACCAAAATAAATGAAGAGCTATACTACGTTCATGGATTGAAAAATCAATATTATAAAGGTATCAATTATTTAAAAACCTGATCACAGTATCAGTGTAATTCTAATAAAAATCTAAGCAGAGGTTATATTTTTGTGGAGATTAACAAGCTGACTCTAAAATTTATATGGAAATACAAAGGGAAGAGCCAAGAATAACAAAGACTTGAAAAAGAACAAAGTTGGTGACCACCAGATATCAAAACTTATTATAAAGCTACAATAATTATAACCAAGTGGTATTGTCAATTGATAGAAAAATAGCCTAATGGAACAGAATAGAAGATCCCAAAACAGACCTACAGATATATGGACATTTGGTTTATGACAAAGGGGACACTGAACACTAGCGGGGATAGGATAATCATCTCAATAAGTAGTGCTCAGTCTATTGGATATCCACTGGAAAATAAATTTGATCCATACTTCATACTACACACAAAAATCAAATCCAGGTTGATCGTAGATCTGACTGAAATGTAAAACAACAAAACCTCTAGAAGAGAACAGAAGAATATCTTCAGGGGAGGAAAAGATTTCTTAAACATGGCACAGAAAGCACTAATGATAGAGGAAAAGATTGATAAATTACTACATTGAAATTAAGAACTTATGTTCATCAAAAGACATCATTTGGAGAAAAGAAGAAGAGTCACAAAGTGGGAGAATATACTTGAATATATATAAGCAACAAAGGACTTTTAACTTGCATATTTAAAGAATTCCTTTAAGTCAATAAGCAAAAGCATACAAACAAATAGAGAAGCGGACAAGAACTTGAATAGACACTTCACAATAGAGGGTATCTATATGGCTAATAAAAACATGAAAAAAAAGTACTCAACCTTATTATTCATCACGGAAATGAAAATTAAAACCACAATGATATGCTGCTACATACGCCCAAATTTCTAAAATGAAAAAAAAAAAAAAGACAATACCAACCATTGGGGAGGATTAGAAGCAGCTAGAAGTCTCATACACTGCTAGTGGGAATTTTAATTGGTACAGTCACTTAGGGAAACTGTTAAGCTGTATTTACTATACTTGAACATATACATACCCGATGCCTGAGTAATTCCAGGCCTAGGTATATACCCAAGAAATGTATATACGTGTGTGTGTGTGTATACCAAAACATATGTTCAAGACTGCACTATTCATAGTTGCACTATTCATACCAGCACTATTCATAGTTGCCCCAAGCTAGAAACTACCCAAACACCCATCAGTAGAAGGGATAAATAAATTCTGGTATCTTCTTACAACAGAGTACTATACAGTCACAAAAATGAACAAACTACTGTGAGAGAGAGAGAGATGCTTAAGGATGCCCAGCTGTTCCAGCCCTCAGCTGTTTGAGCCTTCCCAGACTAGGCCCCAAACACAAGAGAGGAAGCCTCTGAGATGATTCCAGCCCTAGCCACTATCCGAACACAGCAGCATGAGAAACACTGAGGACAGCCTAGCTGAGCCCAGGCAAGCCCCACATTCACGAGCAATTGTTGTGACTATTTGAAGTCACTGTTTTAGAGATGAATGTTACACAGCAATAGATCATCAGAATATATGTTGAAGTACTTAGGGAAAAAATGAAATAGAATATGTTAAATTTATAAATCCACTTTAAAATGATTAAGGAAAATTAATTAAGTTTGTAAAATCCCTCTGAAAACTATTGTTTAATACGAGGGTCATAAATAGAACAAGAGATTTGTAAGTTGAACTTAAAAGCTTAAGGGAAAACTAGGTTTTTACATGTCTACTTCCATAAATTGAAACTTAATTGAAAAAAAAACAAAACCTGAAATCATCTTGGCCAGCTGACTTCATTGATCCTCTCAGTTGAAAGAAACAACACAAGGAGAGGAAATGAGTCATTTATTGAGTGCTTCCAGGTGCCCCACCACCACCCGCCCCACTACCCAGTGCTTTACCTCAATCAACTCGTTGACTCCTCACAACAACCCTGTGAGGTGGGTTTTCTAGTCCCCGCTTTACAGGAGAGGCTCAGAGAGGCTGTGGAACTTGCCCAAGATTCTGCAGTTAGTGAAGGATGGAGTCGGTGCTTTTGCACATTTGGATGCCCTCTCCTGGAAGGAAGGCTGGTGAAGGTGAATTTCTAAAAGTCACTCAGGGCCCTCGGTGTGGCTGCAGTGCTGGCATCTTCTGTGTCTGCTCTGGCCGTGCCTGTGAGCCTTCCAGTGGGTGAGAAGAGGGGTGTGCATACAAGTGACCTTCCTGTGAAGATTAATGTGACCAGAAAAGGATGGCCCATTGATCCTTAAAGTTCAGGTGTGTGGATTGGAGCCAAGGGGGCCTGTCCCCTGGACATGACTTGAGAGTAGCTTTGGAGAGGAGTTCTAGAAGCTGTGGAAAGAAAAAGAGGAAGGATTTGAGCACTATGGCTCCAGATAGCTTGCCTGACTTCACAGGATTCTTTTCCATTTTTTTTCCTCCACCAATTCCCAATGTTTTAAGTGTACCCGACGCATGACATGATAGGGGCAGTTATATCTTTGAATCATTTCATTCTAGAATATTAGGACGAGGCAGCTTTGAAGTTATATAGTCCAATCCTCTCATTTTTTAGGTAAAGAGACTGAGATCAACTTCTGTTGCTTCCTATGGAGAATGTGTAGAACTCTACTTCCTATTTAACACTATCGAATAAGTTTTTAAAAAATTTGTATAGAAAAATGGTGAGTTTTATAAGACCCCTGTCTTTTATTTTTACAGACAGGGGTGGGTAAATGAGGCCTGTAAACCAGCAGCAGAAGTGGGCAGGGGTTGCAGGCTGCTGTGGTCCAGCAGGCAGACAGGGAACTGCTGCCTCTAAGTCACCAGACTGAACCTGGAGCCTTGGCAGGTAGAGGGGTGCTGCCATCTAGACACTCAGAGCCTGAGACCTCGGGCAGCTCCTGCCATGCCACCTTCAAGGGCAAGTTTTCTGCCCCACGAGTCTTTCCAGTGGTTCTGTGAGAAATGTGCTGTTTCACAACAGTGACAGCTACCAAAGCACCTCACAGCCACTTCAGAAGGAGAGAGCATGAATACAGGGTGATGGTGATCGGTCTGCACTGAGCGAATGAAGGAAAACAGATGACGGTCTGGCCACCGCTTAGTTACACTCGGCCTGAGTAGCCAGCGTGTGTTTTGTTTGGGTTTCTAGCTTTCCGCTGTTCCTTTTGTTGTCTGGGGGTCTGCCAGTTGCCACCTTCCCTGGAAAGCCAGACTAGGGGAAATAAGAGGGGAAATCAGGTATCTCTGACAGAGAGAGACAAAGAGAGAGAAGGAGATTGCCGAACAATTCTACACACAACAGAATTTTAAAATACCTTAGACATTAAATTAGTGCTTTACAGCTTACAAACTGCCTTTATATACTTTCCCTCAGTTACTCCTCACAGCAACCTGGTAAGACAGACAGAGCCTACCTGTCTATCTATTAGTAGATATTAGTTCTCTATTAGACTATTAGTCCTGTTCTGCAGATGAGGAACTGCTCTTGATGGTGGTTAAATGGAAAGCCTGGGATCAGATCTTAGAATCATAGCATCAGAGTTAGAAGTTACCTTAACAGCAATAATCTAAGGCATCCTTCTCTCAGAGCCTGAACCACCTTATAAAATCTCGGAGGAGATTTCTTCGGGTCCGTGCTTGAACTCGTCTAGGGACGAGTAACTCCCTACTCTGTGAGGCTGAGTTGGTCCTTGGCCTTTGGTACCGTGTCATGGTGCTGCGCTCCTCCTTGACCACAATTAGCCTCCTTGCTGCAACCTGTTTCTCATTTATTTGTTTATTTAAATAATAGAAAGGAAACAATACATAGTTTTTACTTTCAAACCATAGAGTCTCCAGAATAACTTAAAAACAATCAAAATTGGTCAAATTTCAGACAGCTTTCAATTAATTTGTGATAATGGACTCATTATCTTACTTAACTGACCACTTCAGAGTTGCATTCATCAAGCATCTCCTATAAGTAAGACATCAAATGGAACATTGTGAAGAGTGTCCATAGAATTAAATGGAAAATTCTACTGAAGGTGGGTTAATGCGGGGTAGGACCCTGCATGACTACATTACCCAGCAGCACTGCTTTGCCTGTTAAAAGAAGTAGCACCCATTTGCTTTTCAACCCTGGGCACCACCAGACTACAAAATGTACCGTCTTCAAAAAAGCGGTCCAGTGGAAGCTCTATTTTTAGTTGGTCTTCAGTCGGATTGTGTGAGGGATAAGCTCTGGTGTCAGTGTGATGAAGCTCCGTCACTCTCGACGATGCAGAATTCAGCCAGTGCCATACCTCTTATGTAAGTGCTGTGCTGGGATGAATAGCAATGAGCTTACGGTTTGGGTAACTGAAGAGCCAGGGGATAGATGGTGGATTGTGCCCAACTTTATAAAGGAAACGATAGTAACTTGCTACCAATCACAAGGGACCATGCTTATTCATTACAGTAATGACCCTGGAAGGAGTTTGATGGCAAATAAGTCCAACCAAACATCCAAAACCACAATTCCAGAAAAGGATCTCTGATTTAAATTATTTCATTATCACAGACTAAATTGAAAGCCATCTGAAATTTGGCCAATTTGATTATGTTTTCAAGTTGTTCTGAAAACTCTGTGGTTTGGAAGTAAACAACATGTTTTTTCCTTTCTATTACTTAAACAAACATTTAAAAACCTATTCTCAGGCCAGCCCAGTGGCATAGTGGTTAGGTTTGTGCACTCTGCTTTGGTGGGCCTGGGTTCGTGGGTTCAAATCCCAGGTGCAGACTGATGTACTGCTCATCAAGCTGTGCTGTGGCGGCATCCCACATACAAAAATAGAGGAAGATGGGCACTGATGTTAGCTCAGAGCCAGTCTTCCCCAGCAAAAAGAGGAGGATTGGCAACAGATGTTAGCTCAGGGCCAATCTCCTCACCAAAAAAAACAAAAATAAAAACAAAAAACCTATTCTCTTTATATTGCAAACATGAGTACTTTAGAAAGTGAGTTATATTAGCAGTTTTCTCATCTTGAGCTTCAGAAACGGCTGAATTTGAAAAGGGGCATTTCATCTGACAGTATTAAGGGTAGAGGACCTTGGAGACTGAGTCGTGACCTCCTTTCAGATAGAATATCTGCATTGTCATCACATACCAGGCGATAGACTCTTCACAGGTACAGAATGGAGAACTTCTAATCAAGCAGGACCCACCACCCAGCAGGGAGGATGACAGTCCCCAGTCACAAGAGCAATTATGAAACATAGCAGAGACTTCTCGCTGAAAGACACTCGGATGTCTGGGGGCTTGTGTCCATTATACTGCTGACTGACTGCTTCCCTTTTCCTCCTCTGAACCACTCATCCTTTGCCTTCTCACATCAACCCAATAGGGCCTTCCGGGCCAGCTGGTCCAAAACACTCATATGAAGAAAGTGAGGTCTGCTGAGGTTGTGTGGTTTACAAAAAATAGAGGGCCAGACATGGAAGCCAGGACTTCGGGCTCCTGGCCCAGGTCTCTTTCTTATGTGCCATGCTGCCTGCCCCCTAATGTTTGGGAAAACTCATGCATGAAATGTGTAGCCACCTAAAGTGGGGAATTTTCACACCTTCACTTGAATGGTTTTCTTTCCAGGCAGAGGGAGAGGTACTGATCTTGGAAGTATTAAAAGCCAGGATTAAAAGCTAAGATGGGGGTACAGGGTAGTTTATGGGGAAGGATAGATAGAGCAAGGCAGGAAAGGGAAGGTGATACAGAGATAAACGTGTGAACAATACAATGGGGACAATGTAGAGGACAAATATGGAGAGGGGAAATTAACTGACAAGAAAAAGAAAAGGGCATTTTTCTTTTGAAGAGCAGCAAACTTAGGCAACCAAGGACTGAGCAGAAGCCAGAAAGAGAGAAAGAAGAAGAGAAGAAATAGAACCAGGAAAAGGGAAGAAAATGAGGAAAACATGAAAAAACTGAGAGCTGCTGTAGACTAAGAGCATGTACAGGTGGGTAGGCGTGTAAGACGAAGAGAGGGATCCACAGGACATAATCCACATGCACGGGGAGGCGGGGGATGGACGAGGAGGGAGGTGGATAGCAGCACAGCGGGAAGGGGCGATGAGAGTGAACAATGCAAAGGGAGCAAATCAACAAAGCGGTCCTGGGTGCTCCACTGATCCTTGGAATTACCCCAGAATCAGCTCAACTGTGGTTCTGGGGACACTGGTACCACAGGAGATGATAAATTCCATACCTATAAAACCAAATCTCTACCCTCTTATCATTCACCTCTTTTGCCTCTTTCATCATTTATATAACTTGCTTTTCAAAATATACAAACGTTCACTTATTCATTTCGTGTACCCTGGAAACCTTCCTCACTGGGCTAGTTTCTTGGGAAATTTGTCAGTGCTTCCCAAGAACAATGGGTCTCTTAAGGCACCCACCCACACACACACCTGGAAATGCCTTCCAAATTGGGAACAGTAGGATTTTCCTCAGGAAAAGCCAGGCCTCAACCATGGGTGGGTGGAGTCCCAGAGGAAAATGTCACAGCATTGTGAGAGCAGCCAGGGGGAACATGAAAGCCATTTCCCAGAACTGCTGAGGACAGCCTTTCTTGTACACTCTGCTGAGCTGTGAGGGAAATCCTACGTGTACGTTAGGATTTCGTATCTCCCCCAGATTTGAGCCCACTCCATCTCACACAGGTGTGGTTTGCAGGGCAAGCCAGGCTGCTGCGTACCCATCCGATCGTAGTAACATTCAGTCAGAGCAGCATCCATCCTCTGCCTGAGCGACCCATACGCTCTCCGCTGGGTGAGAGGAGAACAGGGTGGGGACGTTTTCCTCCCGGGGTTATTAGTTTGTATCACAAGCCTCTTTGAAATATGTGATTTTAGCAGAGATATCTGCCCAATCCAGGCTAATAAGCACTGCGTTCCAGGGCTGACTGTATCCAGGAAGAACCAATAGGAATTAGAACCAGGCCAGCTTTTCCCCCCTTTAAAACGCATGCCACAAATAAAATCCTCTTTAGCCCTAGCTGTGGCCTTAGGTATTAGCGAAACCTTGCAAACAATTTAGCAACCTATCTGCTTGCTCACAATGTCAACTAACCCACTTTCCAAAATGCAATCACACTTAATAAGAAATGAGTTAAAAAATCCCCTCACGCCTAGCTTGCACCTGGAGTGAGTTGCTATCTGCAAGGTTGGGTTAACGCCACTTTCTGGGAGTCCACTGAGAGGAGAGATGCCATGAAATGGTTTTTTGCCCTTACAAGCCGAGTTAAGGCCAGCTGTTGGCAGGAAGGTGTGGCAGCTGCCTTCTGAGTACTTACACAGGATCCTGAGCCCGGTGGCTGTGCCCATGTTAATTCTTCCCTCACCTCATGTACTCCCCATCACTCCTATAATCCATGAACGATTCTGATCCTGACACTTCCTCAAAATCCTCCAGCACCAGACTGGTGGAGTCCTCACCCAGGACGCCGCTGTCAGACCTGGACATCCTGGCCCGGGAAGGAGGTGCCGGAGGGTTGGTGGCAGCTGGAGAGGGAGAGCAAGGGGGCGTTTGCTGGACAGATGTGGGCGTGGCCCGAGGAGAGGACGTGGCTGGCTCACGGACATCCTCATCATCCTTCTCGGACTCTGTCCCTGTATCTGGGGCAGCCGGCCCCAGGACGTGGTAGAGGCTGGGGAGACGGATGTCGAAGCGCAGCCCAAACTTAGCAAAGAGCTTGTCATTGAGAGCGTAGAGTTTCTCCGAGATGTCATAGCCCAGCAGGGCCGAGAAGAGGCGGGAGATGTATCGCTCTTTGGCCAGAAGAAGGTGGAGACTTTTCCGGGGCCAGGAAATATAGCTACACGCTGTCTCGGCAGTCAGAGTGACCTGAGAGGGGTCAGGAGCAGAGAGTGAAGGTTTAAACTAGAAAACGTGTCCATGCTTAGCACACAGAAACATCTAGTTACTTGGCAAATGGCAGCACTTTTACTGAAGAAGCCGTGGGAGCACCTCCATGGCCTTGCCTGGAGGAGGTCCAGTGAATGACTTTTAATCATATGCATTGATGGGGGGCGGATTCAGGCCCATGAGGTTGCTCAGGACTTGGCCACAACAAGTAACCAAACGGATCTGATGACTAAAGTGAGAAAAAGGGCACAGAGGAAGAGGAACTCTTAAGAGCACAACGTCAAAGGGCACCCCACTCTCCAGTTATTCAGTCCTCTAGGAATTTCTGAGCACACACTACGCACCCAGGAGGCAAAGCTGAATTACACTTGCAGGGTCAATGATGTGTGGCCAGCACACAGTGGGCGCTTGATAAATCCTTTTTAAAACAATGGTGAATGGTAAAGCCAGCCAGCATGGAAACATGCTTAGGATAGTAAAGGAAAAGGGTGTGGAATCACATATTTTCAATAACCTGATTGGCCATAATACTTTAAAAGTGAGGCCAGCAGAGTTCATGAGGAAGATTTGTGAACAGAGACGGTGGAAATGATGACAGCAGCTGTTTAGTGAGAGGTGACTGTGTGCCAGGCATTGTGTTAAGTTCTTTATGTGGATCCTCTAATTAAAGGTGGGGTTGACTTTGCAAACATTCTTGATTTATTAGAGATTTTATATAATCCTTCTAATTCCTGCATTGCCTACCAGATCTCCCGCTACTCTCCTCTCCTCTCCCTTCCCCTCTGCCATACCCCTCTTCCATTTTCTTCATTCATTTTGTCCTCTCCTCTTCTCCCCCCCCTCCCCCCATCATCAGCACTGAAGTCAGGACCCTAAATTACCTCATCAAGGCCAGAAGCTGGTTTCAAGTTCCAGCTTTACCCCTTTACCAGCTGTGTGACATCAGACAAATCACTCAATCTCTCCGAGCTTGTTGCCTCATGAGAAAGAATTCTGGAAGTGGTACTCACAATCTGTCCAATACTAACAGTTCAGCAAGTAGTTGTCGCTGTCTGCCACAGCCTGCACTTTACATGTCCTTACTATCGATTCCCAGACAAGGAATCAGAGTACTGATCCCGAAGCGGTGTGTGTAAGAGCTCATCTGGATGTCACAGAGGCCAGGGGCATTCTTCCGAACATGCTGTTACTTCTTCCATCTTAAAATAAATCAAAACGAAAATCCTGTTTTTTCACCTCGCTTTTGGGCTAGCTACCTCTCCATCAATTTGCTCTCCTTTTCAGCCAAACCTCCATGAATAAAGCTGTCTGTACTTGCTGTCTTCCACTCCTCGCACTCTCTCTTACACCAGTTGGCTTTGCCCCGGCAGCCCGCCAGCACTGTTCCTGGTAAGGTCACCAGTGACTCTCCGTTGTGGTGCTCAGCTCCCGTGGTGTTCAGCCCTGTTGATCACTCCCTCGTCTTTGATATGCCTTCTTTCCTTGGCTCCCATGAGGCCATACTCTCCTGTACAATCTCCTGATTGCTCCTTTTCGGCTTCCTTTGCTTCTTCTTCTTTTTCTCTCCAACCTCTAAACACTAGAGTATCCCAGGGTGGGTTGGTTCTTGAACCCCTTCTCTGTCTAAACTCACTCACTTGGTGATCTTGTCCAAGCCTTTGGCTTTAAATATCATCTCTATGCCAACAACTCCCAAATTTACATCTCAAGCTCAGACCACATTCCTTAATTCCAGACTCAAGCATCCAACTGCCTATGCAGCATCTCCATTTCAATGTCCATAGATGACACAAATCTAATATACCCAAAACTGAACTTCCTCTCTTCCCTCCAAACCAAGTCTACTTGCAGCCTTCCTTATCTCAGTTGATAGCAGCTCCATCCTTCCAGTAGCTCAGGCCAAAAGCCTGACGGTCTTCGTTGATCTTCTTTCTCTCATACACTACATCCAATGCAATAGGAAATCCTTTTGTCTCTGTCTAGAAAACATACGCTCTGGCCCTACATGATGTGGCTCCTCATCACCTCTCTGATTTTACATCCTGCTGTTCTCGCCCCTTCCTCTCTTTGTTCTGCCATTCTGGTCCCCTTTCTGGACCTCAAACATGCTAGCCCCTCCCACCCCAGGGCCTTTGCACTGCTCTTCCGTCTGTCTAATATGCTTTTCCCTCAGCTTCACAAAGCTCACACCGTTACCCACCTCAGGTCTTTGCTCAAATGCCACCTGCTCAACAAAGACTTTTGTGACCACCCTATTTAAAATTGCAATTATATCTCCCTTACACTGCACTGTTTTTTTTTCACTAGCTGTTATTATCTTTTAACATATTACATTATTTATTTATGTCTGTGGCTTATTTTTTGTCTCCTGTATTAGAATGTAAGTTGCATGAAGTCAGGGACCTTCATCTGTTCTATTCACTGATATATTCCAAGCACCTTTAACAGTGCCTGGTATACAAAAAGTGCTCAATAAATATTACTGAAGTGAACACATGAATCAGGGGAAGATCACCCATCTTGTATGTTGTAAAACAACTTAATGTCACTTTCTCATGTCCTGTATAAAATCCTTCCCTAAAGGTTTTCAGGAAACCTGCTCAGTGACTGGTTCCCACATACACAGGCACATGCCTGCAATAACGTTTTGAAAAGCTTTTTCTTTAATTCTCACCTCAGAGTTTGGTTGAATGGACTTAACGAGATAACATATGTAAAGAGGTCTTGGGTCCAGTAAAACACGACGCAAACGGGAAAAATACTAATGATTCCTCCCATGCTGTGTTCTTGGTGACTAATGAGAGGGTCGCAGTGCTGAAGAATCAATAAATTCTTATTTAACTGAATTGTTGAGAGGTGTGATGGCATGTTGATTCATTTGTGGTAAACATAGTAAGAATTATGATTCAGGCAGTCACTGTGGATTGCCCTATTAGTCAACAAAGACTATGTAATTGCAAAAGGCAAGGACAGGATGAACTATAACTCAGGACAACACTTGACATTTGCAAAGAGGAAGTGGGCCTTTACACAGCCGATGGCAAATGTGTGGATCTCACTGCTCCCAAAGGAGGTGCACACTAAAAATATAAAGGGAGGAATATGATGGTACCTACGTTCCAGGCTGAGAGGCCGTCTGGGGTTACAGCCCTTCCTTTCGAGCATAAAGTAGGGGAGGACACCCGGCTTATCCACCACCTGTCCCCCGGTGTCAGTGTCAGAAACAGAGCCTGGTCTGGCTGGCTCAGGACCTGACTCAGCCCTCCTGGATGTTCTTATGGCTCCGAGGCAGTTCTCCAAGGAGACTGCTAGGCTGGTTGGAGAGGGTGTGTGTGGTCGGGGAGGAACATGATCAGAGGGGGTCTGTGGTGGGTGGCCCTGGCAGTGGGATCAGAATTGCCTCTCAGGCTCTGTCCTCATAGAGCCAAGAGTCCGGGTGGGGCGGAAGCAGACCCAGCCAGGTGGCACCGCCTGGCATGTGTCTATTCTGGGGTTGGCTCATATGCTAGCTTGAGGGACTCCCTGATAGAAGTAGTAGGAGACACATGGAACCCAGTACTGGCAAACTATCTAGACTGGGGAGTTCCTATAACGGGGTGTGTGTGTGTAAACTCCATTCTCCTGGTGACCCTCCGATTTTAAAAAAGAACAGAAAGAGTAGAGCCAGGCAACTTGACCTTACCACTTTCTAGCTGAAGACCTTGGGCAAATTACTTGATGTTTCTGAGCCTGTTTCCTCATCTGTTAAATGGGGTAACAATAATAGCCAACCCAGAGGGTTGTTGTGAGAATCAATAAGGCAATATAATACGCAGTGCCTGCCACGTACTAGCCATTCAGTAAGTGAGAACTACAAAGATGGTAACCAAAGTCTGAAGGCTTGGCAGAGAGGAGAGTAGGGCCGAGCAGCCAGCCCCCCCTTGGAGCGGGTATGTGAATGCCCTATGGAGTCCTCTGAGACACCAACTGCCCACTGCCTAGCCAGTTCAGCAAATCTTTATTGAACACCTACTGTGTTCAAGATACTGTCCTTTGGAGCCTGGGGATGGAGAGGAGAAGCCCAGATTTCTACCTCAAAGAGTTCAGTGTGCGTAGGACAGAAAGGAAACCAGATCAGTAGAGCAGAGAGCATCATGTGCACCAGTTAGCGTAAGTAAAAGGAATAGAAAGGGCACAGAGGCAGGAACAATATGCTGTGGGGATGGAAGCTGGTGAGGTCAATCTGGGCAGGCCTGAGAGGAAGTGAGATGCCATGGCCTCAAGTAGATGGGGAAATGCATTTCAGGTCGAAGGGACAGTAGGGGTTAAGGCATGGGCACTGCAAAGCAATGTGGTGTATTTGGGGAAGTACTAGTAGTTCAGCATGGCTGGTAAGAGCAAAAGTGTGAGGGAGGAAGGTGCTGGAGATGTGGCTGGATATCACTAGAGTTCTTCGGTTACTCTCTAAGGAGTGTAGGGTTTTATCTGTGGTCACTGGGGTCTTCTAGAAGAGTTTGAGGCATAGGAGTGACATGGCCTGCCTTTCAGGGTCAGTACCTCTCTACCCCACCCCACCTCCGCCAGGAGCCCAGGCACTCTTTTCACAGAAGGAGAGTGCTCCCACCCCTAGCACCATATTGGCAGTGGGTCAAAGGACAGATGGAAGAGGGGAGAGACGGAGGGGGGATACTGCTGGGTTACAGTGGGACGGTGCTGCCATGGGTCTCCCTATTACCTGGAACACCCCCTCCTCAGAGGGCTGCAGCGATTCCCACTCGGGAGAGTCCATGAACTGGTAAGGAAAGATGTAGTGCAGAAACTGCCCATCCTGGCTCACGCGAACCCTGGCAAAGGGAGAGAAGAGACTGTGTGGGAAAAGGGAAATGGCTCCCCAAACCCTCCTCAAAGTCTAAATTACATACAAAAAAATGGAAAATGATTAGGATCCAGCATGGGCTTTTTCCTCGTTTCCCAGAAGACTCAGAGTCTCAGCTTCAACCTCTCTTCTAAAGTGAGTTATACCAGGAAAGGAAGTGTCTCTATCAGGCCAAGGGCAGACAAAAAGATCTCTAACCGAAACCCTGTCCATTTGGAAGGAGCTATTGTTCCATTTTTTTCTGGAGTTTTATTGGCTAAACAAACATGCATGGAGCACTTCCTGTGTTCCTGGAGGTCTGGAAATGCAGAGATGGGTATGATCTGATCCTTGCCTTAAGGATTTCACAATTTAGTGGAAGTCACAGGTACATAAGTAACAGGCTGCAAGTCAATGTGTGCTGTTGTAAAACAGGAGAATAGAAGAGAGAGATAGATTAGTTCTCTTCGAGTGGCAGACTTCTCAGAGACGACATTTGAGCTGAGTTTTGAAGGGTGAATAGTATATTGAGAAGCAGATCAGGATGGGGATGGATGGAGGGCTGGGAAATCCAGTGTGGCAGTTTGTTGTCCAATATCTGCTTTTTCCCTTCCTCCACAGTTCTGGAGTTCTGGCCGGGCTCATGGCTGTTCAGCTAGACTGCATATTCCCATCCGCCTTGCAGCTAGGTATAGCCATGTGATTAAGTTCTGGCCAATGGGATATTAGCACTCCAAGTCTTGCTCCTAATGAATGCCTAGATATATATGTTGTGCATACAAATTACCAAAGACCATCATCAATTAATAAGCTATTGCCTATTATCTGACAACCTAAAGATGGAAGACAGAAGAGGATATAGGACTCAAACCAAGCCAAGGATATGGTGTCAGCCAATAGTCTCTGATGGCAGAAACACACTTGCTCCTCCAAGACCAGGTAATATATATACATAGCCAGGCAGAACTTCCCTGAGTAATGAAAGAATACAAGAGAAAATGAAGTGTCATGCTCTCCTGCCTCAGACTCTTCACATATTCTCTTCCATCTTTCTGGGCCTCTTCCCAATCCCCACATTCTCCTCAGATCTCAGCTTGAACATTCCTTCTTCAGGAAGTCTTGTCCGACCTCCCCAGAAAACTTAGATCCACCGGTTACGTGCTCTCATTGCACTTTGCATTTCTCCCTGGAAATATTATGTCTATTATTCACCACTATGTCAAATGTTAATTATTGACTTTCTTGATGGATTGTGAGCTCCATAGTACAAGGGTAATATTTTTCATATTTTAGCACTGGATCCCTAGTCCCTAGCACTCAATAAATATTTTTGGAAGAGGGGAAGGAAGAAAGGAAGGAAGGGAGGGAGAAAGGAAAGAAGGAAAGAAGGATCAAACAAATGAACTCACTTGTGTCACCATAAAAGGGGACCAAAATCTCAAGGAAAAACTTCTCGAATAAAGGAAGAAAGACAAGAGAAGATAGATCAGATCCTCCCACCGTCTCCTCAGGCAAGGAATCTGGCCACTTAAGCCAGCCACCAAGGAGTGACAACATTTTAGAGTGTGAATAACATCTAATGAGCCTGCATGGCTCCCTAAAACCACTTAAATTGGTGTCCTGTGTCCTTTATCATCTGAGTCTCTTCTTCCTTCCTGATCTCCTGGACGACAGGTAATTTCCTCCTACGTGAATAGCTTAGACATCCAGTTGCCTGCTTAGGAGGCTGTGCCTGTAGGAGTTTGTGCTTTGAATTTTATATACGAGAAACTCTCAAACAGTTAAGCACAGCTTAAGAGGGTGATAAACTTTGAGGAAGTCACTTCGTCTTTCTGAGTCTTGAAAAGGACTGATTGACTTTATTAAAATAAAAAAGAATGTCTGAGGTTTCAGCAAAGGGCTCCAGGTGAGAGTCTGCATGTGAGACAGGGAGGTCTGCACAAGAAGCCCCCACTTCCTAGCATGGAGTTCTTGTCCGCTGCTTCGAGGTGTTTGGGACCTCACTGTAATGAGCCAAGGGTACAATGATTCTCCTTTAAAACTGGAGCCTGGTCATAGTCTAGAAGTATCTTCCCCCAGCTCCAATTTAGCAAAGTTGAGACAGGATGACATTGAAAGATAACAAAACAAAACTCTTACTCCAAGCCTTGAAAAGTAGGAAAAAAAATCAAAATTGTCTAATTTCTGACTTGGGTTTTTGATGCTAAGTATACTAGGAAAAGCCACACTGAGGAGCCAAGCCCCCTTCTCCCCTTCACAGAAAAGTGGTCTTATACAAGTTCATGGTAAATCCATCATATAAAAGATACCTGAGCCATACAATAATCATAATATCCTTCCACAAACGAGCACCATACAGGCAGAGTGGGTGTTTCTCCCACCAGTCTTAACTCCCTCCTTTGAAGAGAGGAGCCAGGAGGAGCAAAAAACCTCACGGATCTCATGAATAAGCATATTTCCTAAGTTGTGTTTCTTTTAAGCATGGAACTGTAGGTGGCAAACATTTTGGCAACAGTCATAATGTTTTTGTATTCACACGTATTTGTTTACAAATAATTGCATTTGTTTATACTTTGATTCACTCATAAATGAAATGAAATGTCTCCCCAGAAAACCTCATAGCTCATTCAACCCAGGACCTCTGAGCCAAATAAAATCAAAAAATGTCTACACAACACTTTCGATTCTATAAATTAATACAGAAATGTATAGGATTACTAGAAGTAGTTGTTATGGTACCATCATCATCATCCTCAAATTCTTTTTTTTTCCTCACCGTGTGGTTGGCAGTCTTATCTGGTTTCTTTTTTTTTCCTTGGCCTCAGAGCCTTCTGATTACTATCTGATCTTTTCTACCATATTCTCCTGGTCTCAAGAAAGCAGGGGAGGAAATGAAGGACAAAGCTTTTGAAATACTCTGCTTGCTTTCCACAGAGCCAGACCAAGCATCCCAGGTTATCTCACATACAAGTCCCACTAAGGCAATATTTCCAAGAACCACAACTGCCTACCAAACGTGCAGCACAGAGCCCCATGGTATTTGTTCAGAAGACATCAGCCAATGGCCAAGGCTCACGTGCAGGCTGATTGGGCGTACACTAACCCTGACTAAGACCATTTCTGCTAATGTCTGACTGTCAGCCTTCTTAAGAGGAGCCAGCCAGGTGTCTCCAGCAAATCCTCAACTAAACATGTCTGGGCAACATTACTCTTCCCTCACTGTCTGGCCCTCAGATTTACAGTACTTGACTTCTTGGTCTGTAAGGATCTCAATAGAACAACTGGAAATGGAAAAGTGGACAAGGGGTATTCCCTTTCCATACCTGGGTGTATACAGAATGGCTTTACCTTGGAGTCTGTACAGGACACCCCCAACACACCTGGGCCTGTTTCATTGATGCCCTGGCCGGGAACAGGGGTTACAGGAAACCCTCCCCGTTTTGGTGCTGTTCCCTGCACGTAGTCGGCACTTAGCAAATGTTGAATGCATATGGAAGGAACAAATTAATCTTCTTGAAATGTTCGGTTTCTCTAAGCTTACAGAGATTTTGCTGCAGCTTAGGCATGACACACTGGTGTGTGTGTTTGTGTGTGGTCATTTCAGACCCATGCTTGAGAAACACTCACCCCACAACTCCCAGTGGCAAGCGTACACACAAACCTTCCTGCCAACCAAGAAGATGTCTCATGATCTAATTTCCTCTTGGAAATGCTAAGAAAGGGGAAGCAAACCCATGCTTAGAAAAATCTATTTTGGTTCGTTTGACTTGCCACATCCTTCCCTCAATGGAAGGGAACACGAAATGGAAAGGGATACAGTGGGAAAGGAGAAGCGTGGGCAAGGGGAAGAAACCTGGGGCGGTGACAGAAGAGCTTACCGGCCGGAGAGCAGCAGGGACAGACGGTTGATGGGGGTCTCGCCCTCCACAGCATAGGTCTGGTCAGTGGCCAGAGTTAAGACCCGCTCCTCGCAGCAGTGGACAATCTCCTTGTAGGTCTGCAGGGGCACCTGCAGGGGCAGGCACAGTGTCTTGTAGAGGAGATGGAACTCCTCAGGGAGGGTGTCCCCGCGCAGGCGGTACACCAGGAGTGCCAGCTGGAGCGCGCAGGCCGCTGTCGTCAGGAAGCTCCAGAGGACGACGTCCAGGCCGCAGGCGTGGAACCAGCCCCACAGCATGCAGCACAGGTAGCCCGTGCCCAGGAAGCCAAAGAGGTAGAAGCATCCGTACACCCCGCTGCCCCCCATGAAGCCCAGGAGCAGGAAGCAGTTGGCCAGGTGGTAGAGAGCCCCTTCCAGGTCCTGCCTCCAGCCGGTGCACACCGGCCCCTGCCAGAGGAGCTGGCCCCCCGCGCTGCTGTTGGCGCTCATCTCAGGGCGTCTCAAAGCCTTGCGGGGCTCTAAGACTACCCCCACATAGGAAACTCAGAAAATGGATTAATCTGTCCTCCCAGATGTCTTCTCACCTCCGGCTTCTCATCACCAATTCCACCTTTCCTGGAAGGAATGTTTCCAGTAGCCTCGGGAATGAATGGCAGAACATAGCACACTTCATGGAGAATTTAAAAACTGTTTTTTCGTCTCTCTCTCCCTCAGCAAGGCTCTGGCCCTCTCCGCAGAGCTTTGGCGAGCTTCCTTGGCTCCGGGTTTCTTAGGACAGGCTTCACATTTGGCTTTTAGCAGAAAACCTAGATTGCTGCGAGGAAAAGATAGGACTATGGGCCTGAAAACTTCAGCAGTGAGGGATAAAGTGGCCACATCCTGCTCTCTGTTGTCCCCAAACAGAATGAGGAGAGCCCAGCACGGGAGGCACACTTGTGTTCCATTTGGAATGCGTCTCTCTTGGCACCGGAAGAAAGGGTGACCCCAGATGGATACCATGTTTGGAATTGGAATCCAAGAGGTACTGGCAGTGAGAAAAAACAGGCCAGGCACAGAGGCAGGCTGGCAGAGCACTTAACATACCTCCCCAGAGGACAAGATAAGACTCTGGGGCAAAGGTAGGGGGGGCGACAGACGACAATGGAAAAGTGAGCACAGAATTTACCACAACACCTCAGGCAGGACTCTGTCCAGAGCTCCCTGTGGGGAGGGCTAGGGGCTCTCCTGAGGTAGGACACATAAAAGGAGGAAAGTATGGGACTATTATCTGAAAAAATCCTTACAGTGAGAACTGGAAAATCCCTTGAAGGCCTTTGTTAAGTCACATTGTAAATATCACTCGGGATTTGACATCCATTAAACAAAAATAGCTATGCAAAGCAGCTTTTTCAATTCTAAGCTGACTTTCCCCTGCATATATCTGGATCTAGTAATAGTTCATACAATGGTAATACATTGCTCAGACCATCACCCTACCCACCCCACTATTTGCAAATCATAATAACTACCACCTATTAAACACTTACAAAGTGCCAGACCTAGATTAGGCACTTCACACACTTATTATTTAGACATCACAAAAACCTTCCAAATAAATATTATCCTCCTCCTAGATATGAGAAAAAAATGAGGCTCAGAGAGGTAACAAGTTTCCTCAGGTCACAAGTGGCAGAGCCAGGATTTGAACCCACGTCTCTCAGACTTACTGCTGTGTCCCAAGTAGTTTGCACGGTAAGTGGAAATACAGATCCATGACTCCCCCCCTCCCCAGGAATTCTGATGACGTTCAAGGAACTTCTGGGTGAACTTGGGATCTACTTTGGGTCACTAAGAAATAAATCTGGAATATGCAAACATTAAACTAAGAAATGTCTCTCTGGCTTCCAAATGACTCCTTGGTTTTTTTCCTTGCTGCTGGTTAACACTTACTACCATCCCTCCTACTGCCCCTGAGGTACAGGGAAAGCACCCAGTAACCTTCCAGAACTAATGAAGTGCTCAACCCATAGGGACTTTTATTATACTTCTAAAATCTAGCTAAAATTAGAGAGAAATTAGAAATCATCAAATATGCCAAGGAGTAGAAGTTTTCAATTCAACAAATATTTATTGAGTGTCTACTATGAGCCAAGCACCTAGAGAATCAAAGATTCACAAGAGAAGCTTTCCCTCTATCAAGGGAAGGATACCTCAAAAAACAATGGCAATTCAGTGTGTGAAGCATGATAACTGAGCTACAGTTAGAGAGGCGGCAGCCTAGACGCAGGTGTGGCACAGAGGAAGGGAGACTGAGAGCCAACATTTGAGTTGAGGTGTAGGGGTTGGATTAACCAGGTAGCTAGAGGGAGAAGAGAATTTGTAGTGGTGGGGACAGCAGAAGCAGAGGCACAGAAGTGTGAAAATGTAGGGCATGTTGACGGAAGCCAGTTTTTCAAATGTAATTAAAATCTGCCCGATAAACGTGCATCTCGTTCTCTCCTTTCTAAAGTTGAAGGGGGAGAAAATCCATGGTAAAGGAAAAGAGCTAGCCAGTGGCTGGAGAAGGAAAGGCCTCAGTGCCTCCTCCCAGCAATGGTTCGGATCTGTGATGTCATTTGAGCAGTGGAGTCTGGGGATTTCCATATGCTGCTTTTCTGTCACCTGCCTGCCTCCCAACCAACCCACCCCCCTTAGCAAGCAGCAGCTGCTCATCCTTCCACCTTAGTCATGCGCCCCCTGCGCTGCCAGGGTAGCTGTCCCTGCCAGCTGTGTGCAAGGAAATCAGAAGCACAGGAACAGAGAAGCAACCTAGGCTCTGCCCAAGATAGAATTTCAAAGCAGGTCATCTTTCTCAGCAAGACTGGCTAATGGGCTGGCCCTGGCCCTTTAAAGAGACAGGCAGATCCACTGACTACTGTTCTTAGCCTGCCTTCCTTGTCAATCCACACACGTGCACATCTGAGCAGAGGGGACTAACATGTATCAAGCAGTTATTTTATTGTTTTGTGAGGAAGACTGGCCCTGAGCTAACATCTGCCAATCCTCCTCTTTTTGCTGAGGAAGACTGGCCCTGGGCTAACATCCATGCCCATCTTCCTCCACTTGATATGGGACGCCACCACAGCATGGCTTCACAAGTGGTGTGTCGGTGCACGCCCGGGATCCGAACAGGCGAACCCCGGGCCACCGCAGCAGAGTGCACGCACTCAACCACTTGTGCCACCGGGCCAGCCCCAAGCAGTTATTCTTTCCTCGTGTCATCCCATGATAACTTTTTTTTCATGGAAGAAAACAGGCTCAGAGAGGTTAAGGAACTTGCCCAAGGTCACAGAGATAGTATGTGAATAAGGACTGAAGTCTAGGTCACTGTGACTCTAAATCATATGTTCTCTGTGCTGTTCCACCTTGCTGGGTACTTTTGTGAGTTTATATGTATCCATATACAAGCTCATTTATTGCTACAGGGCATTTGAACACGCTGCTGGGGTGGCATCATGGGTGCACAAACCCACATGCTGCCTGCAGTGACAGTCACATCGATGCCTGTAGGATAGGACCTATGATGGGAACACAACAATGGAAAGTTGTATCTTGTTTTTAAATCCAGATCTGATAGAAGAGGAAAGAAAAATTTGCATGTCAAAATGGTATGTTCTTATAAGGAAACCCACAAACAAGCAGGCAGAAGCACAGTAGAAAATTTTGGGGCTAGAATAAAAGGAAAGAAACAGAAGTCACATCATTTGTTGAGTCGATTCAATCCAATAAGCATTTATTTAGGGCAAAGAATGTGCACCAGGAACAGACGATATAAAGAAGATCAAGACAACTACCACCTTCAAGGAACTTTTGGTCTAGTGAGGGAGACTGACCCGGAGATAACTGCCACCCAATAAAATAAGGATACTCGGGGTTCCAAGGACACACTGCTGGGGGAGCAAGAATCGAGGAAAAACATCACAGGGAAGGTGACATTTAAGCTAGTCTAAAAAGATGACTAGGTGCTCCCCAGCTAGGGGAGGGCATTCCAGGAAGGGAGAACAAAATGTGAAGTCAAGTCCAGAAGTAAAACAAACATACACGGCATATTCTGGTAACTGAGAACAGCTTGTTGTAGGTGAATCAAAGGGAGCGGCGGGCCACGAGCCAGGCTGGGGCCAGATCATGAAGTCAGCTGGCTACCAGTGCCTCTCCAAGTGTAGTCATGAACCGCGGCTTGTCCGCACACTGTTACGGTCCATGATGAGACAAGGGCAGATATGGAGAGTACTTAGACATTTTTACAGCAATTTGAAAGAGAAACTTATGGCCTTTGAATTTAATAAAAACTTTCAGCTTGTTTAGTGTTCTTTTTTTAGTCTATTTTTTTTTATTTCATTTTCCCAGTACTGGTTCTTCACCACATATAGTTTGAGAAACACTGGGCTTGAGATGAATGCTTTCCTAATGTAGATACTAAAATGGAATGGAGGCGTAATTTTCAGCTTTGGACACACACGGCCAAGCTGATCTTAGGCAGACCTGCTGGTTGCCTATCCTAGAGCCTTGCTCCTTCGTTTATGGAACTGTGATTTCTCTTGGGCCACGTTAAAGAAGGTGGGCTTCTCCCCCAGTTGCCAGGGCCTGAATTAATACTAGTCAAAGCCAAGCATAATATCCTTTTTTTTTTTTTTTTTTTGCTGAGGAAGATTAGCCCTGAGCTAACAGCTGTGCCCATCTCCCCCTATTTTGTATGTGGGATGCCGCCACAGCATGGCTTGACGAGCGGTGTGTAGGTCCGCACCAGGGATCCAAACCTGTGAATCCCAGGCTGTCGAAGTGGAGCACGTGAACATAACCACTACGCCACCAGGCCTGCCCCATTCTCCTCAATGGTAATGGGTTTAAGTGCAGTCATGTGACAAACGAGATATAAGAGGAAGTGTGGGAGGGAGCTTCTGGGAAAAGCATCCCCCCTGGAAGAGACAGTATAAGAGGCCTGCTCCCTTTCATCCTGGCTTGAATACAGTTGTGTGATGATGTAATGCTTGAAGTTACCAGAGCCATGAGATAGGATATGCCTAAGGAGGGGAAAGATAAAGAGCAGAAAAACAGAACAAGCCTCGGTTCTTCAAAGTATTACGGAGCCATTGTCTCAAATCTGAAACTTTCAACCTCCAGACTTCACGACAGGAGATAAACTACATTTACTGCTTAAGCCACTGGGTATTCTGATACTTGCAGTTAAATACATCCAGATCCAGATCTCCCTAAGGATCTCCATAAAGACTACTCTTCAGGGAACAGTTTCCTGAACATCTGCTGATCGTCCTATTCTATGAAAACTGAACATCAGACAACTTACTATGTTCTACCAATAATTTTTTCTCAAAAGATTGAGTAAACTATGAGAGGAATTGCTCCTCTAACTCAATTTGACTATTCAGTTTGACGTGGTTGTTTAGTGAACAAGTGGAAAATCGGTCACCTACTCAATATGCATTTGCCTCTTCCTCCTTGTAACAGCATTCCAGTTCTGTTCTGCTCTTTAACCTACACATGGATCCAAGGTGGGGATCCTGTTTAAGCCAATCAGCATAAGGCATTCTGTTGACAACTATTATTGGTCCAAAAAAATACATATAACCTAATTTGGCTCAATTGGACTAAAAAAGGGGACTTCCTGCCTTGGGAATGATTTCTCTCTCTTCTGTTGCAATTAAATAAGCAAGCACGATTGGCTTCATCAGTCCTGGAAAAGAGCTCTGAGATGAAAATAACTTGGCTCTTAGATGGCATCACTGAACCTATGATATCATTGCACCTAGAGCTTGCCCTAACTCTGGACTTTCCTGGACGAGTATTTTGTATTTATTACTTGCTGTCAAAAGCACCATAATCGACACAGATGGAACTACCATCTAGCAGTTTTTAACAGCTAAAGAAAGAAATGCTGGGTATACTCACACATGCACTTTTTAGGAAAACATCTTGGAATATTCTTCATAGCACTTAATATTCAACTTTATATTTTATAGTTTATATAAGCTCTTTGAGAGCAGGGTCTGTGTCTTACTAACCTTTGTTCACTACTTAGCATATAGTTGGCATATAGTGTGTCTTCTGTAAATGTTGAGTCAAACCGTCTCTCATCTCTGAGGGCGGCATGTATGTCTGATTCACACATAAATACTCAACATGTAGGGCAGTTTCCTGCACATAACAGGCCTTCACTAAATATGTACTGAAGGAATAAATGAATTTATAACTATGAATACATGATGTTTATATTAGACATCTGGTACAGAAAAGAACACTGGGCTTGAACTCTAATACCAAGACTCACACCCAAGATCACCAGCTATTTGGCCAGAGCAATTTCCTTAACTTCTCTGAGTGCCTGTTCTCACCTATAAAATGAGGATTACAGTTTCTCTGTCAGCTTCACATCAGACCTGTGGAAGGTATAGTTATCCTAAGGTAGGCCTTGCCTAGGGACATGGTCCTGTTCTCATCAACCTTCAAGTCAATTGTT